AGGAGTCGTAGTCGTCGTCGAGTCCAGCGATCTCCCCGACCAGCGTCGTCGTTGTTGCCATTCTGGCTAACAGTATTTCAGTTTGGCTGTGAGCTTCGCTCCGTCTACTAGGCTCGACTCACACAAGGAAGAGCCCGAACGACTCACACCAGGGCGAGGGGCCCCAACGACGCACACCACATGCATTCTGGTCCAGGACGTCGCCGTCGTGAGAGTCGACAGAGTCGGTTACGTGTAGGACTGGTGAACGACCGCCTTCTGTCTTGCCTCCCATTTCCTTCTCTCCCTCCTCCTCTTCCTCCTCTTCGGCTCCTGGTCGTAGTAGTAGAGGAAGTACCAGTAGGATCAGTTGTAGTACTGGTTGTGGTAGTAGCAGTAGTAGTAGTAGTAGTAGTAGTAGTAGTAGTAGTAGTAGTAGTAGTAGTAGTAGTAGTAGTAGTAGTAGTAGTAGTAGTAGTAGTGGTAGTAGTAATAGGAGTAGGAGTAGTAGGAGTAGTAGGAGTAGTAGGAGTAGTAGTAGTAGTAGTAGTAGTAGTAGTAGTAGTAGTAGTAGTAGTAGTAGTAGTAGTAGTAGTAGTAGTAGTAGTAGTAGTAGTAGTAGTAGTAGTAGTAGTAGTAGTAGTAGTAGTAGTAGTAGTAGTAGTAGTAGTAGTAGTAGTAGTAGTAGTAGTAGTAGTTAGTAGTAGTAGTAGTAGTAGTAGTAGTAGTAGTAGTAGTAGTAGTAGTAGTAGTAGTAGTAGTAGTAGTAGTAGTAGTAGTAGTAGTAGTAGTAGTAGTAGTAGTAGTAGTAGTAGTAGTAGTAGTAGTAGTAGTAGTAGTAGTAGTAGTAGTAGTAGTAGTAGTAGTACTGGTGTGACTCGTTCGGGCTCCTCGTGGTGTGAGTCGTTCGAGGCGCGCGTCGTGGTGTGAGTCGTTCGGGGTCCTCCTTCTGGCGTGAGACGTTCGGGTTTTTCGTGGTATGAGTCGTTCGGGCCCCTCGACCTGGTGTGAGTCGTTCGGGCTCCTCGTGGGGCCTCGTGGCGGCCTCTTGGAGCCTCTTGGGGGCCTCTTGGGGGCCTCTTGGGGGCCTCTTGGGGGCCTCTTCGGGGCCTCCTGGGGCCTCTGGGGGCCTCTTGAGGGTCTCTGGGGGGTCTCTTGGGGGCCTCTTGGGGCCTCTTGGGGGCCTCTTGGGGGCCTCTTGGAGGCCTCTTGGGAGGCTCCGGGGGGCCTCTTGGGGCCATCTTGGCGCCTCTTGCGACATCCTCAGAAGCGCAAAGAAGCGCTGCCCCCTGAAAAGGACAAAATGAGCCCAAAACCCTCGTAAAAACAATGATTTTGCTATGAAGGAAGATGAGCGCGGCCCCCTCGGGAGGCCAAAATGGGGCCAACACCCTCGTAAAAACAATGATTTTGGCTTAACAGAAAAGGAGGGTACTACAAGAGGGTCCCCCCGTCGGAGCCAGAATCCTCGTGAGGGTCGTCGTTTTTTGGCCCTCCCAGGCGTCGAAAAAGACCACCCTGACGACCCGCGGGCTGCGCTCTCCAGGTCCAGGGGGAGGGGGTAGGGGGAGGGGTAAACCCCTCCCCGAAGGGGAAGAAGGGGGGTTGGGGGGTTGAGAACAGAGAAAGCTCGCTAAACCACTCACGCCCAAAGGGCTGGTGGGATTGAGCTCCCCGGCAATCCTCCCAGGACCCCAGCGGGACGGGCCGAAACCCACTGGGAGAGTTCTTTTGGAAAAAGAGCCAAAACCAAATTGGAAAGGATCTAGCACGCCATGCACCCCTGTGGCAAGCCAAACAGGGGGCGGCGTATCGAAGACGCCTACGGCGAATCACCGCCGCCCCCTGCCTTTTTGGAAGCGCCGATGTGGCCGAACGTTGAGGCCAGACCTGCTAAGCCATCGGACCATGTGTTCCCCGAATCGGTTTGGAAAGCCTTCGGGGAACACGTGGGCATCTTGAAGGTCATCTTGGCCGTCTGGAGGCCATTTTGACCCTTTCGGGCCTTCTTGGAGGACGTCTTGGAGGGCTCTTGGGCCGTCTTGGAGGCCATCTTGAGGCCGTTTGGGGGCCTCTTGGGGCCCGGGGGCTCTTGGGGGCACTTGGGCCGTCTCGGGCCGTCGGAAGGCAGAAAAAAAACGCAAATGCCACAATCCTTCAAAAACCCATGGGAAATCTATGATTTTGGCCTTTTCGGGCCTTCCTGGGGGCCCTCTTGGAGGCCTCTGGGCCGTCTTGGGCCATCTTAGGGCCATGTTCGGCCGTCTGGGTGGGCTCCTGGTCCGCTGACGCCGTCGGAAGCCGTTTGGGGGGCCTCTCTGAGCCGACTTGTGGCCCTCTTGGAATGCTCCAGGGCCGTCTTGGAGGCCATCTTGGGCGTCTTAAAGGCCTCCTGTACCATCTTGGGGGCCTTTTGGGGCCGTCTTGGGGCCCTCTTGGGCCGTTCTGGGGCCATCTTCGAGGCCTCTTGGGCGATCTTTCGGCGATCTTTAGGGGCTCTTGGGCCGTCTCGGGCCGTCGGAAGGCCGAAAAGAAGCAAATGTCAAAATCCGTCAACAACCTTAGGAAAATCAATGTTTTTGGCCTCTTCTGGCCTTCTGGAGGCCCTCTTGGGGGCCTCTTGGGCCGTCTTGGGCCAGCTTCGAGCCAACTTCGGCCATCCTGGTGGGTTCCTGGCACGTCTGACGCCGTCGGGAGCCGTCTTGGGGGCCTTTTTGGGCCGACTTGGGGCCCTCTTGGGGCGCCTCGGGGCCGTCTTGGAGGCCATCCTGGGCGTCTTGGAGGCCATCTTGGGCGTGTTGGAGGCCTCTTGGGCCGTCTTGGGGCCCTCTTGGGGCCGTCCTGGAGGCCACTTGGGCCGTAATGGGGCCCTCTTGGGGGCCTCTTGGGCGATCTTGGGGGCCTCTTGGGCCGTCTTGAGCCGTCGGAATGCCGAGAAGAAGCAAATGCCAAAATCTGAAAAAAAAAACCGAAGCCCTCCTGGAGGACCTCTTGGAGGTCTCTTGGGCCGTCTTGAAGGCCTCTGGGGGGCCTCTTGGGCCGTCTTGGACTCTCTTGGGCCGTCTTGGAGGCCGTCTTGGACCATCTTGGGCGGACTTGGAGGCCATCTTGGATCATCTGTGTCGGACTGGCAGGCCATGTTTGACCATCTTGCAGACCATCTTGAGCCGTCTTGGAGGAAAAAGTAGGGAATTGAGCTCCCCGGCAATCCTCCCAGGACCCCGGCGGGACGGGCTGAAACCCACTGGGAGAGTTCTTTTGGAAAAAGAACCAGAACCAAAACCGAAAGGATCTAGCACGCCAGGCACCTCTGCGATGAATCCACAGGGGGCGGCGGATCGAAGACGCCTACGGCCTACGGCGCCGATGTGGCCGAACGTTGAGGCCAGACCTGCTAAGCCATCGGACCATGTGTTCCCCGAATCGGTTTGGAAAGCCTTCGGGGAACACGTGGGCATCTTGAAGATCATCTTGGCCATCTTGGAGGCCTCTTGGGCGATCTTTCGGCGATCTTTGGGGGCTGTTGGGCCGTCTCGGGCCGTCGGAAGGCCGAAAAGAAGGACATGTCAACATCCGTCGAAAACCTTAGGACAATTAATGTTTTTGGCCTTTTCTGGCCTTCCTGGATGCCCTCTTGGGGGCCTCTTTGGCCGTCTTCGGCCAGCTTCGAGCCAACTTCGGCCATCTTGGTGGGTTCCTGGCACGTCTGACGCCGTCGGGAGCCGTCTTGGGGGCCTTTTTGGGCCGACGGGGGACCCTCTTGGAGCGCTATGGGGCCGTCTTGGAGGCCATCCTGGGCGTCTTGGAGGCCATCTTGGGCGTGTTGGAGGCCTCTTGGGCCGTCTTGGGGCCCTCTTGGGGCCATCTTGGAGGCCACTTGGGCCGTAATGGGGCCCTCTTGGGGGCATCTTGGGCGATCTTGGGGGCCTCTTGGGCCGTCTTGAGCCGTCGGAATGCCGAGAAGAAGCAAATTCTAGAATCCTTCAAAAACCTACGGAAAATCAATGATTTTGGCTTCTTCGGGCCCTCCTGGAGGACCTCTTGGAGGCCTCTTGGGCCGTCTGGGAGGCCTCTGGGGGGCCTCTTGGGCCTTCTTGGGCCGTCTTGGGTACATCATGGGCCGTCTTGGAGGCATCTTAAAGCCATCTTAGCCGTCTTGGAGGCCATCCTGGCCGTCTTGGAGGCATCTTGGAGGCCATCTTGGAGCCGTCTTGTGCAGGAAATTGGGGAATTGAGGTCCGTGGCAATCCTCCCGGGACCCTGGCGGGACGCGCCGGAGCGAGCCCCAGGGGGAGTTCTTTTGGACAAAAGAACCAAAACCAAAACCGAAAGGGTCTGGCACGCCAGGCACCCCTTTGCTGAAGCAAAAGTGGGCGGCGGATCTAGTGCCCTTCGGCCCATCCCGCCACCGTGCCTAGGTTGTGGGTTAGAGTTCTCAGGGATGCTTCTTCAGGTCTCCTTTCTCGAGGGCCTCTTGGGAGCTTTTTTGGAGTCTCTTGGGAGCCTCTCGGGGGCCTCTTGGGAGTCTCTCGGGGCCTCTCGGGAGTCTCGGGGGCCTCTTGGGGCCTTCTGGGGGGCTCTCGGGGCCGAGGGCTCAAAATGTCCGTTCGGGTTCCGCATCTGGGCCCCCTCTTGGGGCCGTCCTTGGGCCTTTTGGGCCGTCTTGGGCACCTCTTGGGCCGTCTTGGGGCCCTCTTGGGCAGTCTTGGGGCCCTCGTGGGGGCCTTCTTGGGGGGGCCGTCTTGCGGCGATCTTGGGGGCCTCGTGGGCTGTCTTGGAGCGTCGGAAAGCCGAAAAGGCGAGAACGCCAAAAACCTTCAACACCTGGGGAAAGTCCATGATTTTTGCCTCTTCGGGCCCTCTCGGTACGCCCCTTGAAACAGGAGGAGGGGGAGGAGGAGGAGGAGGAGGAGGAGGAGGAGGAGGAGGAGGAGGAGGAGGAGGAGGAGGAGGAGGAGGACGAGGAGGACGAGGAGGCAAGGGCGAGGCTTCGTCCGTGCTCGCCGCGCGGAGACGCCGAGGACCCGACGCTCGCGGCGATAGCCTTCGAGGCCGAGGAGGAAGAGGAGCAACAGCAGCAGCAGGCGGGCTTCCCGACGCCTGTGCCGCCGCGCCGGGCTCCAGGCCTCCTGATGTTATTACAGTCCAAAGCCCTAATAAGGACGCGCGACTTTGCTCAGGGTGCCCTTGCGTCCTTGCTCTTCCTTGCTCTTGCGTCCTTGGGGTTTTCGTCGCCCGCCGCCCCAAGAATCCCAACTTCGGCTTCCAAGGGTCTTGCGTCCTTGCCGCGCGTCCTTATTAAGGTTTTTGACTGCATTACTCTTCCATTCGGGGCTGCAGCGAAGTCATCTTGCTATCAAGGGCGACGCTGCGGGGGGCACGTCGACCCTCCGTGGCCCACTGATTGCAAACAGGGGCCCGACAGCCCACCCCGCCCAGGAACGTCCGGATTCGCGTTCGGGAGCTTATCCCCTTGTCTATTGGCGATGTAGCGCTGATTCCGGGTCGATGCCCCCCCCCCCCTCAGCGAGTCCCCATCGTGCGGTCGAGACCTTGGAGATAGCGTGTCGTTCGTTCCGCCGTTTCTGGCCCACAACGCTATTCATTTTGCAGTCCCCAGGCGTCCACGTCAAGAGCCGTTCCGAGCATCCCGCCCCGCGGAGCGGAGCGACACGCTATCCACTCGCAAGGCATAACGTGTCGCCAGGGCCGCCGCGGCAACACGCTATGCCCTGCGACTGGCAAAGCATCCCGACCGTATTGCCTCCGTCTTGTTTGCTCGGATGTCCCACCCGGACTGCACTAAGGCCAACAGCTCTGGGCGGGCTACGGTCGGGAACTTCTGGGTACTGATGGGCATGTTCTCCACCACCACCACCATAGGTTGGAGGGGGGAAGGAGGAAGAGAAGGAGGAAAAAGGGGAGGAGGAAGACCCCCCTCCCCCTCCAACTTATGGTGGTGGTGGTGGTGGAAAACAAGCCCACCAGGTACCGTTGCGTTCTGCGGTTCTGGCCTACCGCGCTTCGGCGTCACGCGCTGATTGCCATGTCGCGGTCCCAGGCGTCAGCGTCCCGAGCCTCTCCGAGCCCCTCGCCCCGCGGAGCGGAGCGGCGCGCATATCCTCGCGCAAGGCATTGCGTGTCCCCGGGGCGCCGTGGCGGCGCGCTGTGCAACAGCTCCCGACCGTGCCACACAAGGTGATGCAAGGATCTCTGCGCGCGTCCTGCCTCTGCTCCATTACGTTGCCCGCTGACTGCCGTCACCAGCGTGTCGGAGGAAAGGCATCAAGGCGAAGGAGCGCACGAAGCGCAGCGTAACATCGTAATAGGAGTACAGACACATATGACAAGTCTTTGCTTGTATCTCGATGTTGATCACAGCCGCGCTTCCTCCCTGTCTTCCCAGGTGCCTTCACTCCTGCCCCTGCTCGTCGTAGTAAAACCCGCATTGCTTGGACCCCTCTTGGACTACGTTTTGTTCTCAAGGCGGTTGTGCCGTGTGCCCTTCTGCAGGGTTTGGGTTCGAGGGCCCAGACGTCATTGGGTGCTTTTGCAAGGACCGAGGCGGCCAGCTGGCCGCCGTGCTTGGCATCCTGCGGCCAGTTTCGAGCCTCGGGGCCATCAAACAGGTTTTTGGAACGAAGAGCGCCCTGCGGACGGGGTCGAGAGAGTTCCTGCGGGCCCACGCACCGGTGAAGTCGAAGCGCCGGGTGGCTGGGGCTCCGAGTTTTGAGGCGCTGCTGGCTCCTGTGGGACTCCTGGGGGCTTGGGGGACCTCTTGCTTGGTATCGCTCGGACTTGTGCATTTGTTTTTGGGCGAGGACCATCGAAGAGCATTGTTGGTAACCTTACGAAAAAATACGCGCACGAAATCGAGAAATGCACAGGGAATGGACGTTCGAGCGATGGCGAGCTTCGGGGTCTGCGGAGACCTCCAGAGGATCAGGGGCGGCGTACCCGCCCCCTCCCAAACCATCCCCTTCGGTGACGTCCCCCCTAGCCTCGCCCTGAGGCGCATGTGCGCGGCCGGCGGGGGAAGCTTGAATCAGGAGGGAAAAAGCACACAGACACAATCAATCGTCGATTCCCATGAAAGTATGGGAAAATATGGAAAGTGGGGGGGAAGACAGAAAAATTGGGACATCCTTTTATTTGTGTGTATTTATTTGTGTGTCTCAGGGCCCCTTCATTGAAGGGCGAGGGTGGCGCCACGGAAGGGGATGGTTTGCTGGGGGTCGGTCAGGCCGCGCCCGAGAGGACCCCCCTCTGGACCGGAGGGTGGTTCCAACAAGGGTTTTTTTGGGGGGGGGGTTTGGGGAGGGGATCTCCCAGAGAGCCCCCCCAGGGGGCTTCGGAACCTCGTCAAAACCGAGGGGTCCGAAGCCCCTCCCCCAAAAAGCCCCCTTGGAAGCCTTCGGCTGGAGGACCGCGGCCTCGGGGGCCGGGAGGCCTCCGGAGAGCAGGTCGCGCCCGCGGCCTCTTCGCAGCCACGGTGCCCTCCGAGGAGGTGCGGGGCGCCTCCTCGGCCGTCGGAGGACGGGCGGCGCGAGGGGGACGGCGCGAAAGGGGCGGCGGCCTCCCTGGGTTGAGTCGGGCATGTCAGTGGTCAGGGGGCGTTTTTTTTTTTTTTTTTTTTTTTTTTTTTTTTTTTTTTTTTTTTTTTTTTTGGGTTGTTTTCTTTTTGGGGGGCTATTTCCCAACCATCCTGTTGGTGCTGGGCCCTCGTTTTGAAGAGACAGCGCCCCGCGTCTCCTCCTTCCTCTCCCTCCTCCTCCCTCCCCCTCCTCCCATCCCTTGCCTCTGCCCTCCGCATGTCCTCATGATCGTCATCATCATCATCATCATCATCATCATCATCATCATCATCAGCAGCAGCAGCAGCAGCAGCAGCAGCATCATCAGCAGCATCATCACCAGCATCAGCGTCAGCATCAGCATCAGCATCAACATCAGCATTAGCATCAGCATCAGCATCAGCATCAACAACATCATCATCATCATCATCATCATCATCATCATCATCATCATCATCATCATCATCATCATCATCATCATCATCATCATTGTCATTGTCATTGTCATTGTCATTGTCATTGTCATTGTCATTGTCATCGTCATCGTCATCGTCATCGTCATCGTCATCGTCATCACCATCATCGTCACACCCAGTACAGCGCTCTGTGGCCCTATAGGGAGCTCCACCGAAGGTCCCAGTGGCGCAGTTCGCATGCGTCTCGCCCGCCCAGTACAGCGCTCCGTGGCCCTATAGGGAGCTCCACCGAAGGTCCCAGTGGCGCTGTTCGCATGCGTCTCGCCCGCCCAGTACAGCGTTGCGTGGCCCCAGAGGGAGCTCCACCGAAGTTCCCAGTGGCGCAGTTCGCATGCGTCTCCCCCACACCCAGTACAGCGTTTTGTGGCTCCGTAAGGAGCTCCACCGAAGGCGATACCCACAACTGCGGTACTCACAACTGCACATGGTTGGGTCCTTCGCCAAGCTAAGTTTGAACATGTTTGGCGTATGTTTTCAATTTTCGTCCAAGATCCGCCAGTAGGAGGACATGCCCGACCAAATCCTTTGGAGGCGGGCGGGCTTCTGAGGAGACAGGCGTCTTCTTGGAATCCTTTTTTCGGGCAGCAGCAGCAGCACGGCCTCTGTTTCCAGTGATGTGCACACACACCAGCCCAGAGGCGCAGCTGGAGCAGCACTGAACCTGTCATGAGAGTGCCCAAGGGGGGGGGGGGCGGCCGGGGACTGCGGGCCTCGGGGCCGAGGCGAGCGCGCGCGCGCCGCCGAGGCGCCGGCGCGCCGGCCAGCGCCGGCGGCGGCAGGGCCTGGCGCCACGGCGGGCAGGGCCCGGGCGCCACTCGGGGGCCCCCAAACTGTAGGGTATGTGGACGCCCGAGATGGGTACGGAAAGAGTGGGTACAATGCCAAACAGCAGTTCCTGTTCATTTTGAACAGGATTCGCTGTCCACGCCGCCGCGGCCTGTGTTTTTTTTGAGACAGAGGGCCGCCTGCCCAACAGCGGCCGCCGTTGGTTTGGGGCAACGTTTGCTGTTGGGCATTGTACCCATTTTTTCGGTACCCATTTCGGGCGTCCAAAGGGTACTCGGGGGCGGCAAAGAGGGGGGTGGTGACTAGCGGGGGGTGGATATCATGGCGTTCTCCATGATATTTTTCCCCAGGTTTCATTGCGCCTGGTCTTATTTCATTGCGTCCCTGGCCCCCCCTTGAGCCGCGCACATGCCGCCGGCCATGATTTGCACCCCCCCCTCTTGGACGCCCCCCTCTTGGCCGCCCTCGAGGTACCCAGAGGAGGACAGAGGTACCCATGCCGCCACCCTTCCCTCCTCGTTTCCCCATGTTTGGGGCTCTTGGGAGGCCCTCGTCGCCACCGCTGGATTCGCCTCGAGATTCTGGTCAGAAAGCACCCCAGGAGGTCTGGGGAGTAGCGGTGTCGGTAATTACCTTTTGGCTTCCTCAGGTACGGGGCCCAAGTAAGTACACCACTCCCTCCTCACTCCTTCTCCCAGGAAGGGGAAGAAGAGGCTGGAGGAGGGGAGGGGGGGATGAAGGTGGTGGTGGTGTATAGTCTCAGCGCCCGCCGTGGGTTTACCACACCGTGGTGATGCGGGCGTTTTCGCGTGGTTTTGGGCCCCGGGGCCCATCGCAGATCGATCTGGCTCAGACAAATGCTGCACAAAGCTGGGGTCCAGGGCTCCGTCCGTGATTTTTCACTCTGTTTCGATGTTTTCGCAGCATCGGATCTCGGGGCCGTGTGGCGAGTCAGTGGGGATTCGGGTCCGCCACGCGGTCTTGGGACTCGGGTCGTTCTCCAAGGACGTCTCGAGCGGCTGGGGCCTCCAGGGTCCCAAGCTGTGCGGTGACGGACCGCGCGGTGAGGTCGTTGGGGATTCCGAGGTCGCAACGCTGTCCGTCACCTAACAGTTTTGGGGCCCCGAAGCCACCGGCCGTTCCCAGACATTCGGGGTCTTAAAAAATCAGGACGGCGGTTTTTCTAATTTTTCGGCCTCTGGCAGCCCGTACCCGGCCCCAGGACCGTCAAAAACGGCGCGGGATGAAAAACCGATCTTCGGGAAAGGGTCGGAACTCCTGGGGTCCGCGCGCTGAACAAAGCAGTGCCTCAGGACATCAAATGTCTGGGCTCTGGGTTCTGAAATCAACCCAGATCGGCTCTGGTCCGAACGTTGCAATTTGGTGTCACCGGGCGTTTTCGCCCAGTTTCGGGCCCCAGGACCATCACATATCGATCCGGGTCGAAAACGCAATTGAAGGATGGGTTCCGGGGCTCAGGTCGGACCGCTGGCAACGCCTTTGGAAAACCTTCAGAACGCCTTGGGTTGGCCCAAGAACACTTCGAAAGGGCCGTGCTGGGGCACCAGATGATGTTTTTCGATGCAGCTATACGGCTACACCTGGGCCAAAGACAGCCTACATACGGTCGAATGACAATTTCCCGCGAGGGAAGTTTTTGCAATATCAGCCAGTCGAGCCATGAGGAGGATGAGGAGAATGAGGAAGAGGAGAGGGAGCAATGGAGGAACAAAATGATGATGATGATGATGATGATGATGATGATGATGATGATGGCGATGAAGATGAAGAGTATGATGATGATGATGATGATGATGATGATGACGACGATGATGATGATGATGATGATGATGATGATGATGATGATCGTGATGATTACGATGACGACGATGATGATGTTGGTGCTGGTGATGATACTGATCATGATGCTGATTCTGATGTTGTTGATGATGAGGTGATGACGATGCTGCTGATGGTGGTGATGATGCTGATGATGATGAGGATGATGATAACGATGACGATGATGATGTTGATGCTGTGGCTGATGCTGATGATGATGATGAAGATGATTATGATGCTGCTGATGATGATGCTGCTGCTGATGATGGTGATGATGATGATGGTTATGCTGATGATGATGCTGATGCTGCTGCTGCTGATGATGATGCTGATGATGAGGATGATGCTGCTGCTGATGATGATGCTGCTGCTGATGATGATCATGATGATGGTCATGATGATGCTGATGACGATGACCGTGATGCTGCAGATCAGTCTGCTGTTGATAATGATGATGCTGGTAATGATGATGATGCTGATGGTGATGATGATGATGGTCATGATGATGATGCTGATGATACTGATGCTGATGACGATGCTGCTGCTGATGATGATGATGATGATGATGATGATGACGAGAATGCTAAGGATTATGATGCTGATGCTGATGCTGATGATGCTTATCATGATGAAGATGCTGACGATGGTGATGATGATCAGGATGATGATGATGATGATGATGATGATGATGATGATCATGGTGATGGTGATGGCGATGGTGATGATGATGCTGATGCTGATGATGATGATGATGATGATGATGATGCTGCTGATGATGATGATGATGATACTGATGCTGATGATACTGATGCTGATGCTGATGCTGCTGCTGCTGATGATGATGATGATGATGATGATGAGGATGATCGCTGATGATGATGCTGCTGATGATGATGATGCTGCTGATGAGGATGATGCTGTTGATGGTGATGATGATGCTGCTGCTGCTGATGATGATGATGATGATGATGATGCTGACGCTGCGGCTGATGATGATGATGATGATGATGATGATGACGATGCTCATGATAAAGATGGTGGTGGTGGCGCGCCCTCGCGCAAATGGCCGCGAGCTCTCGTGAATGGGCGCAGCGTGTCAGCCAGTTGAGCTCTCAAGCGCTGGGGGTTCAAAAGAAAGATGATGACGATGATGATGTTGATGATGCTGCTGCTGATGATGATGAGGATGATTCTGATGATGATGATGATGATGACGACGATGATAATGATGCTGCGGCTGCTGATGCTGATGATGATGCTGATGATGATGATGATGATGATGATGATGATGATGATGATGATGATGATGATGATGATGATGATGATGATGATGATGATGATGATGATGATGATGATGATGATGATGAGGATGAGGATGAGGATGAGGATCATGATGCTGCTGCTGATGATGTTGTTGTTGATGATGATGGAGGGAGGGAGGAGGAGAGGAGGAGGAGGAGGAGGAGAAGGACGGCCGAGAAGGACGTGGAGGCGGAGAGACGAAGAGGGTGAGGATGAGACGAGGAGAAGAGGAGGAGGACGAGGAGGACATGAGGAGGAGGAGGAGGGAGGAGGAGGAGGAGGAGGAGGAGGAGGAGGAGGAGGAGGAGGAGAGGAGGAGGAGAGGAGAAGGAGGAGAGAGGAGGAGGAGGAGGAGAAGGGCGAGGATGAGTAGGAGGCGGCGGAGGAGGAGGAGGGAGGAGGAGGAAGGGAGGAGGAGAGGAGGAAGGAGGAGGAGGAGGAGGAGGAGGAGGAGGAGGAGGAGGAGGAGGAGGGGGAGGAGGACAGGTAGCATTGGGAGCTGGGCGAGAGGGACGGGGCGATCGTCGTCCCGATGCATCTCCTTAATTTTCCTTCCTTCTGCGTCCTTCCTGCTCGTTGTTTCTCCACTGGAGCTGCTGCTGCTCTTCATCGTCCTCATCTCGCGTGGCGATCGCCGTGTCAAGTAGGCTGGCCCTTCCCTGTTTTTGACAGGTCTGCCTGAGCGCAGACCGCACCGCGGCCAATGGCAACCTTCAAGGGGATAGGCTCAGGGGGGCATACGTCGACCCAGTCGGCCATTCATCGCCGATAGGACCTGATATTTTGCCCAGCCCAGGAACTTGCTGATTCGCTATCGGGGGCCTATCGGCGATGTAACGCCGACTCCGGCTCGATGTTTCCATCCCTGAGCTGGTCCCCTCGATGCGAAGAAACTGCTGCTGTCGCGAACTGCCTACTACTCATTGCTACGCTACTTGATCTCGTACTGCCTCTAATTGATCTCGTACTGAATCTCGTACTTCCTCCTCCGCGCGGTAGTCGCAGGCGTGTCTGAGTGTATACAGTTATCTTGTGTCCATTGTTGCGTTGCATGGCTTGTTTCGCTTTCTCGTCCGCTCCGGTCAAGCCCCATTGCCTCTCCTCTTTCACTCACCTTCCTCCCATTCGGTTATGTGTGTGACGACCTTGTGAGAGTTGAAGCAGGTCCAAGAGGATCTAAGGTGGCTCCAGGATGGCCCCAAGAGGATCTACGAGGGCCCCAAGAGAAGCCCACCATAGGCCCGCAGGCCCCAAAGCCAGACCCAGAGATGGCCGTGCGAGATCCCACCATGGATTGTGGTGATGATGATGATGATGATGATGATGATGATGATGATGATGATGATGATGATGATGATGATGATGATGGTGGTGATGATGATGATGATGATGATATGATGATGATGATGATGATGATGATGATGATGATGATGATGATGATGATGATGATGATGATGATGATGATGATGATGATGATGATGATGATGATGAGGGGGGGGTCCGAAGAGTTGGAACGCTGAACCACTTACGCCCAGGTGTCTGATGGGATTTAAAGGCGGATCTGGTCGTGGTGGCAGAAGGCGCACCATGACCCTCGCCCCAAGCGCACAAAAAACATTCAGATCCTTGATTCTCTGTCCGCCCCCTCCCCCTCCCCCTCCTGCCCGTCCCTCCCTGCACCCCCCCCTCCTCCTGCGCCTCGCGGGGGGGTCCGCAGGCAGCCGCTGCGCAGCGGCCAGCGCCCGTTATCAGTGCGCGGGGAGGGTGTCACCTGCACGCCTCTCTCCCTTCTGTCATGGCGCCAACATCGCAGAGCGGATTTCGTTCGGAAAACGGTGGGCTGGGCCCGGATTGTCCTGGAGAGTTTCGTGCCGGATTTCGAAGTGAGTGTCGTGCGGATCTCTTTCGGCGTGTCGGGTTCTTGGAGCTGACAGAAAACCACGCCCAAATGCGCTGCAGCACCAGCTGCAGTCGGGGCGCTCAAATGTCAGCCGATCGCAAACATGGATTAAGGGGGCGTGGACCAGCGACGGGTCCCGTTTCCATGGGAAATCCAGGCGGCACAGGCCGCATTTTGGGGAGGGCACCTCCCCCGATCCATAGATTTGTCGCCCGCGCGCCAAATCCATGGATCGCTAATCCATGTTTGCGCGCCCCCGAAAATCTGCACGAACGAGATGGGCACGGAAAGAATGGGTACAATGCCCAACATCAGTTCCTGTTCACGCCGCCGCGGCCTGTGTCCATTTGAGACAGAAGGCCGCCTGCCCAACAGCGGCCGCTGTTGGTTTGGGGCAACATTTGTTGTGGGGCATTGTACCCATTCTTTCGGTACCCATTTCGGGTGTCCAAAGACAATGAAGGGACACACGTTGGGCTCGGGAGGGGCCCTGGCGCTCGGGTCGTTCCTCCGGTGCGGGTCCGGGCGCCTGGCCGTGGCTGGGGCCCGTCTCGGCCAGAAGCGCCCCTCCGTTCCCTGCCGAGCGCTCCTGGTGGTGGCACGATGCCGGAATGCTCCTCCCCCTCCTCCTCCTCCTCCTCCTCCTCCTCCTCCTCCTCCTTCTCCTCCTCCCCCTCCTCCTCCTCCTCCTCCTCCTCTCCTCATCCTCTCCTCCTCCTTGGTCTGGTGGTTAGCAACGATAGATGCCATTCTGCTCCTCTCGATCCTCCTCCTCCTCCTCCTCCTTTCGGCGCACACCTCGAGCTTCGAGTTGGTTGTTTGCCTCCCCCTACTCTGGCTCCTTCTTCCTCGTCCTCGTTCCTTCGTCCTCGTTGGTCGTCCTCCCCCTCCTCCTCCTCCTCCTGCTCCTCCTTTCGGCGCACCCGAATTCGAGTTGGTTGTGCCTCCCCCTCCTCCTCCCCACCTCCTCCTCCTCCTCCCCTCCTCCTCCTCCTCGTGTCCTCCTCCTCCTGGTGTAGCACGATTTGCCGTTATGCTCCTCTCCTCCTCCTTCCTCCTCCTCCTCATCCTCACTTCGGCGCACTCGAGATCGAGTTGGTCTCCTCCTCATCCTCCTTTCTCCCTCGTCCTCGTCCTCGTCCTCGTTGTCGTCATTTCCTTCCTCCTCCTCCTCCTCCTCCTCCTCCTCCTTCGGCGCACTCGAGCTCGAGTTGGTTATGCCTCCTCCTCCTCGTCCTCGTCCTCCTCCTTTCTCTCCCTCGTCCCCGTCCTCGTCCTCGTCCTCGTCCTTTTGTTGTCCTCCTCCTCCTCCTCCTTTCTCTCCCTTGTCCTCGTCCCCGTTCTCCTTCTTTTCCTCTTCCTTGTCTTTGTCCTCGTCCTTCTTCCTCCTCCTCCTCCTCCTCTTCCTTCTCCTTCTCCTCGTCCTCCTCCTCTTCCTCCTCCTCCTCCTCCTCCTTCGGCGCACTCGAGCTCGAGTTGGTTGTGCCTCCTCCTCCTTTCTCTCCGTCGTCCTCGTCCCCGTCCTCGTCCTCTTCCCCATCTCGTCCTCGTCCTCGTCCTTCGTCTTCTTCTTCTTCTTCTTCTTCTTCCTCCTTTGTTTTCTTCTTCTTATTCTTCTTCGTTCTCCTCCTCTTCCTTCGGCGCACTCGAACTGGGGTTGGTTTTGCCTCTTCTCCTCCAACTTTCTCTCCGTTGTCCTCGTCCCCGTCCTCGTCCTCTTCCTCGTCCTCGTCCTTTTGTCCTCCTTCTTCTCTTCCTTTCTCTCCGTTTTTCGTCCCGTCCTTGTCCTTGTCCTCGTCTTCGTCCTCGTCTTTCTTCCTCCTCCTCCTCTTCATCCTCCTCCTCCTTCTCCTCCTTCGGCGCTCTCGAACTCGAGTTGGTTGTGCCTCCTCCACCTCCTCCTCCTCCTTTCTTTTCCTAGTCCTAGTCCTCGTCCTCATCCCCGTCCCCGTCCTCGTCCTCGTCCTACTTCTCGTCCTCGTCCTTCTTCCTCGTCCTTCTTCCTCCTCCTCCTCCTCCTCCTCCTCCTTCTTTCTCTCGCTCATTCTCGTCCCCGTCCTCGTCCTCCTCCTCGTCCTCGTCCTCGTCCTCGTCCTCGTTCTCCTCCGCCTCCTGCTCCTCCTGCTTCTCCTCCTCCTCCTCCTCCTCCTCCTCCTCCTTCGGCGCTCTCGCACTCGAGTTGGTTGTGCCTCCTCCTCCTCTTCCTCCTTCTCCTTTCTCTCCGTCGTCCTCGTCCCCGTCCTCGTTCTCGTCCCCATTCTCGTCCTCGTCCTTGTCCTTGTCCCTGTCCTTGTCCTCCTCCACTTTCTCCTCTTCCTTCGGCGCACTCGAACTCGAGTTGGTTGTGCCTCCTCCTCCTCGTCCTCCTCCTCATTTCTCTCCGTCGTTCTCGTCCCCGTCCTCGTCCTCGTCCGCGTCCTCGTCCTTTTGTCCTCCTCCTCCTCCTCCTCCTCCTCTCCTCCTCTACTCCTCCTTCTCTCTCTCGTCAAGTCCTCGTCCTTGTCCTTTGTACTCGTCCTCTTCCTCGTCCTCGTCCTCGTCCTCGTACTCGTCCTAGTCCTCGTCCTCGTCCTTCTTACTCCTCCTCCTCCTCCTCCTCCTCCTCGTCCTCCTCCTCCTCCTTCTCCTCCTCTTCCTCTACCCGGGCGGGCCTGGACTGGATCTGTGCAGGTGTGCCGCCGGCGCCATCCGAGCTCCCGCCCTCAGGATTGAGTTCCAGAGCTCCGCTGGAGCGCGTTCCAACCGGGATCTCGCGGCGGATCCAGTCAATGCCGCCCCTGGAGGAGGAGGAGGAGGAGGAGGAGGAGGAGGAGGAGG